TTGCCGGATTCCTTTGAACACAGTGGTCGAATTTCTTTATACAAATACCAGGCCCTTTGCGCTAATATTCCTTCGGGTTCAATAAATTGTAATTTTAAAGTTTCTTCAGTAAGCAATCCTTTTTTGCGGATTTCTTGTTCTGAAGAATTAGCAAAAGCTTTTGCTTTTATCGACCCATCTGGATAAAATTTAAAATAGTAAAATTTCAACAAATTTGAAATTGGCTTAAAAAATTTCTGCAGATATTTGTCCCACTGTGCCCAAAAAATATTTCGAATCTTCGCGGTAGGATCTATACTTATCTATACAGCAGTATTGTAATGATTCGGACAAGAAGTTCTAATGACATCAATAAAATCTTTAAAAACGATCGACGCATTTACATTTTTGATTATTCGCCAAAGCAGATAATGCAAGAGCGCATTATTTTTATTTTGACCAGCGCAGTTATCAGAAAAAAACAACTTTTTTAATGACATTAACAGTCAAATAATAATTTAACATGCTGATAACTGCATTTGGCCCTTTGCCTACACTATCTTGTTCGTCAATCGTTATGTTTATTTGAATATGCGTTGCCTCATTATTTATTCCGATAGCCCACATTTACGATTTGGCTTTAAATAAGAAGAACCGACTTGTTATGGACTACTTGGATAACTGACGTTTTGAGCATAGTCAAATGAAATTACGAGTAACGAACCAATTTCAATGTTCGCCATTTCACGAAGTAAATTGTAATGTTCACGTTATACTCTTGTATTTTCTAAATAACTTCTTGCTGTTTCTATTAATTTTTCTTGCTCATCAGTTGGAGTATTTGACAAATTTGATAAATTTAAATTGTTTTCGTGGCAAGTAGTGCATAAATCGCTAGCTGGTTTCATGATCATAATTTCGGAGCAATGGTCCTTCCAAATTTTTAAAAAAGTGGAACGTGCAACGACGCGAATATTTTCAATCTCCGCAGCTTCTTTAAACTTTATGTAGTCTTCTGCTTTATTGTCAGATGACGGTAGTGTCACTACTTTTTCGAATTTGCGGAATTGAGATAGTCGGCGTGGTAATAGAATTGCCACTTTAGACGCATAGGATTTAATAAAATGCACGACATTTTCTATATTCTGAAATGTTAATACGTCATCTGTGGTTGACAATTTATTTAATGCCTGATGATCCCGTAAAGTAATGCCATTCTGGTCAAAATGGTTAATTACATTTTTGTACCTTGTTCTGCCCATATTGTACAAAAAAAATAAATTGCTCGGCAAATCGGCAAAGTAGTATGTTACTTTTTGCCGTCCCATTTCTGACGTGGCTTGTTTTTTTAACATATTCGTTTCTTAATTCCTTGACTGCCGATAGCAATGATCTTTGCCATTTTGGACTTTGCTCTGACTGCCGGAATACTGACAATCTTTGTCATGATAAAAATTAAAGTAACAATGTCAAAAATAAATGAAAATTAAAAACAAAATGATTTATAAAAAGTCAAAGCTATGCTGAATGCGACGCACGTTTCCGTTTTTAAATTAAATAAAAATAAAAAAGTTCAAAATTGTTAAAAACAACAAAAAGCAAAATCTTTGCCATGGACAATACAATGCATTTTTATTTTTAAATGTCTAAAATCGTTTGAAGTTTGTAACTCGGAGGTTTTCGGGGTTCCTGATTACGAATCTGATTTCGACTTTTCAAAATTCAAAATGTCGGATGACTCTTTTCAAAATCGATCAATATAACTTTAAAATAGTTATTATTTTTATAAGATGACATAATATTGAAAACTATTGATATTTGAAATAGATAAATGTATAGGTGATTTTTAAGTTACTCATTTTATCTTTTGTACGAACATCTTATAACCTTTGTCATCAGCTAGTATATTTACATGTATTAAATCAATTTGTAAAATATAAAAAGTGCACAAAGTCAATGAATAAAGGATAGCTCTAAAATTAATATCTATGATAAATCTCAAAACAATCATTGTCAATATCCTTGAACCCAATTTGACATCAGTTTGGGGGGTGCATCCTGGAAACTTGTGTTATTTATAAATGTACTAGCAGATGACAAAGGTTATAAGATGTTCATAAAAAAGAAAAAAAAAGTTTCTTCATAACTTAAAGAAAGAAACTTAAAAATCACCTATACATTCAAATATATTTCAAATTCTTATGAAAGTAATAACTATTTTTAAGTTACATTGATTAATTTTTCAAACAGTCGTCCGCCATATTTGATCCGCCGTTTTGAATTTTAAAATTTTTGAAAATCCGGAATCAATTTCGCAGTCAGCGACCCCGAAAACCCCCGAGTAACAAATTTCAGGTAAATTGGATTAATTTTTAAAAAAGTTGTCCAACATTTTGAATTTTGAAAAACCGACATCACATTCGTAATCAGCAACCCTCAAAACTCCTGAGTAACAAATTTAAGGTAAATTGACCATGACATGTAGGTGAAACCGGACTGTGACCGAGTTCAGTCACGACTCGGTTTTAGGCAGCCCTATGACACTCCTGTACATTTTCATATGAATACTGTGACGTATTCGTCTGTCACTAGTAATGTTTTCTAGGGAATTTAAATATTGAGACAAATAAGTCGAGAATTTATCAGGAAATTTCTGAGATTCAAATTATTAAACGAGCGATAAATTTTGAATCACATTGATTATTTATAGTCTTAATAATATAAATAAATATTAAGTTTAATTAATTAATTAAATAAATATTATTGTTTTATGATTATTTTATAGTTAATAATAATTAATAATATAGTAATTAATTAATAATATAGTTAATAAAAATAGTTAAATAATAATAATGAGTTAATTTATAATAATAATAATAATAGAAATCCAATATGGCGGCTATTTTATTGCGCAGTTAGCAACTACGCAGTAGAAAAATAACGGTTTGTGACCTTGAACAAACGACGTTCATTGGTTAAAGGTGACGTCAACAGCAATCTGATTGGTTGATCAAATGAGAGGGGATAACCTCCCCTACTTTTTACAGCGTATATAAGGGCAGCCTTTAGACGGCTCTCTCTCTCTTTTTGACTTTGATTATTAAGTTATTCATTGCTCACATATTTCGTGACTTCGGATAAATAATCAGTGCTATTGTAATTAACATTAATAGTGAATTGTGCAACACATAATTAAAACTTTGTGAACAATTTTTAATAGTGAAATTCCTTCTAAAAGGAAGTGAATATAAACAATTAGACACTTTAATCCTAATAATTCAAATATCTTGACTCAGAGAACATTAATTATCTGAAATATTTGAATTTAAATAAAATTGGTTTTTTTTCTCGAAAGAGTTTTTCCAATCAACATTTGTGTTTTATTAATTATCCTACAACTTAAAACTATTTATTATAATTAAATAAATAATTATTTAAATTCAACAACGATATAAACATTCAAATATTCCGCTCTTAAGTGGATCTAGTGGTTCAAGAACTCATTCCATTGGTAAAATCACGCAGATCTAACGGAAAGTTATTTCCGTTGAACCTAGGATGTGACAAATACGATGGCAAAGATTTGACTAGGCGCTGTAGTCGGAATAGGCCGATTTTTGGCGTCAATTTAAAAAAAAGATGATATTATTTTTATTATTTATAAATATTTATTAATTATTTATTAATATTAGTCAAACTTAATAATAATTAATATTTAATAATTAATAAATATTTATAAATAATAAAAATAATAATTTTTTTTAAATTGCCGCCAAAAATCGGCCTGTTCCGACTACAACGACTAGTCAACTCTTTGTCATCTTGTTTTTAGCAGTTGCATAGATATCTGGCTTTAGGTGAAAAATTGAATGAAATACATGAAAAACAGTAAAAACAACTATTGGAATGAATAAATGGATAATCCAAGATTCCATTTATCCAGTAGTTTATCTAAATTAGCTTATTTTTAAGGAATTATTAATGTTGAAAGTGTATCGAAGTTCATCTGTCACTTTTCTATACGTGTTGTTCTGCATAATGAGACTTTGCCGACAATTAGATTGCGCTCGCAGCACACGCTAGATAGGAGTACTTTCAATTTTTTTTATCATTTATACTTAATTAAAATAAAAAGAATAATATTTTCTGTTACAATTAAATAAATTTAATATAACATTTTGCAATTATTTAATTATTTGTAACAATATATTGTCGTTTAAAAATAATGTTTTAATTTGACAAACAAACTTGTTTTAAATATATCAATTTTAGTTTTTGAATAATTAAAAAATAAAAATAAATTACTTATTGACTAAATATTTGACTTTAAAGATTATATTATGGTTAAGGTTATATTTATTACTCTTTAAGAAATGAATCGGACTATCAGCCATGCTTTTTAAAATTTGTTTCTCATATGGGATTCGACATTTTAAAAATGTGAAAACTAACTTTAAATTCGTTATCAGCGACAACGGAAGCCTTTAGATACCAATTTTGAAGAAAATCTATCATATTTCTCAAAGTTAATCCGCCTATTTGAATTTTGAAAAACTAATTTCACATTTGTAATCAGCAAACCTCAAAAACCCATAAGTGCCCAGTTTCAAGAAAATCCATTATGTTTTTGAAAAATTCAGATTAGTAATTATCAGCGACCTCGAAAATTCTTAGTTATCAAGTTTTATAGAAATCTATTCAAAAACAACTGAATAATTTATTTTGTCCGCCTAGATTTGCTACCTATCTCACTGTAGATCGCTGATAACAAATATCAAATTTGCTAAATTTTCAAAATTCAGAATGGCGGATCCAATTTGGCGGAAGAAAAAATCACACAGATTTGCTTGAATCTTGTTTCTCGTAAATTTTTATTAGAATCGTAATCAGCGAATTCTATTATATTACGCAGCACATTTTTTTGCTGATAATTTTAACATTTACTAATTTCATTTATTAATAAGATTAAGGTTGATAAATATATTACTTATAATATTAATATCTAAATATAATATAAACGTGTTGCTTCTTATTAATTTACATATGAAATTTCATTTGTAGATTGTGAACATTCTTAGAATGGAAGAAGCAATTTTTACTTCCTCTGAGGCAATAGACGCTGTCGAATTTGGGGACAGGACTATGTAAGTTGAAATATAATTTATTATACAAATTTTCTATTAATTACAGCTCATTTAAGTTTGTGACAGATTTCCTTATAAAGCTTTTAATAAAATTTTTTAAAAGTATCGTGTTCGAAATATAATTCAGGTTATTCAGATGTCAAGAGAATGTTAGTGAAAATTGTTGCCATTAAAATTGTTAAATTAAAGAAACCATTAAAAATTTTAGAAAATTGTCATTGAAACGTCGCTGTTTGACTCAATAAAATACAAAAAATTTAACAACCAACAAAAGATGATGTTTAAACAAATTTTATACAATTAATATAAATAAAAAAAACTTCTAAGCAAATCTGGGAATATACAAATAATTCTCAGACTCAGAAAATTTCAACTTGTTATTGAATGTTTCTTCCGATTATATTTTAATATGACGCGAATTTTCTAAATTCATAAAATTATCTTTTTTATAAAAATAATTTTTTTAGTATAATTTTTTAAATTTATAGATACTATATAATAAAATAAATCACAATTTTTTCTTTTTTGAATTTTGTATTCCAATTCATTTTAATTTAGTTAATTAGATTTACAAAATGTTTTATTAAAAATCTTTAAATATATATATAATTATTTTCAAAAATGTCTTATCTGAAACTTGTTGCTTAATTACAATGAATTGTAATAATTTTAATGGTGTTCTTCAGATATATAAATTAAATTTTTTTAAAGCATCGAGTGCTGTGATCAGGGAATAAAAGGGAATTTTACATAAAGTCTAGCCGAGCCTCGACAATTAGTGCTGGCGCAGTACAGAATTTTTGTTTCGCCAAAGCTTGGACAAGCCACGGCGGCAAGTGCTGGCTGAGTATAGAAAAATTGTTCACGACGCTCTTTGCCAACATTGCTTTTTTGACATAAACTTGAAAAAACTTATAAAAAAAGTTTATGAATGTTCATAAATATAAATTTATTGAAAAAATTAATATTTGATATTAATTAATTCAGTTGTTTATTTTTTATTTTTATTAAATTTAATAATAATTTAACATAATTGTCTAATTTTGTAAATAATAAATTATTTAAACAAATTAAAATTATAAACAAAATTTAAACTTTAATCTCAATAATAATTTGGTTCCTATTAAAATACTATTATACTTCTTACTATGAATAAAAAAATATTAAAAAATTACCACGTAATTTAAGAATTACGTAAAATGTTAAATGCAATAAGTAAAGTAATTTAATTTAATTATTAAAAATTTAGTTTAATTTATTTTATTTCAATTTATTATTTCTAACGTATCCCTATTTTTTTCTCATCTTTGACTCAAAAATTGTATGTCTGAATGATACTGAGATACTAATACTTTACTGTACACATGTGTCGTTAGCATAGTGGTTAGAGCGTTAGTCTGTTAGTCCGTAGGTTCGATTCCCCTCGTCAGCAATTTTGTTTATTTTCATAGGTTTGCGATATTTCTAGATTCCAATCGTAAGGTACTAAAATATGAAAATCTAATGCACACTTACTGTAATTGTTTATTATTTAATTTTTAAATGTTATAAACAATTCTTTTCTACTTCATTTACTATATCCATTGTTAGTCTCCATCTTTAATACAATTTCTTTAAGAAGAGAAACATTTTATGAATAGTAACTATTTATTAATATTATTTACCATTTTGTTGTTAAATTATGTTTAATTATTAATTTACGACTAATTAATAACAATACGGCATTTATTGCGGCAATATTCTTAGCCAGCACTGGTCCAGTGCTGCGACAGCGCTGTCTGGCAGCACTGGCAGGCAGTACTTCGCCAGCGTTAGACAGCGTTATCATCCCAGAGTTATGCCAGTGCTGTCTGTCAGCGTAGCTGCCAGTGCTGGTGCAGTACTCCGCCAGTTGTAAATGTCCCATTGGGTCGGTGCTAATTAAAGAAATTTATAATAATAAAAATTTTAAATGTTAACATAATTGTTATTTAATAAATAATTTTGATTGAAAATAATTTATTTCAAATTTGATGACGTTTAGCTGCAAATATGTGACGCTTTATGAGAAGTGTTATATAACGTTAAATCTTATTATCTTATCTCTTTGTTGTATTTAAAATCCGATGATTGCGAACAACATAAAATCAGATGTCACGTTAAGTGCCTTTTTACATGGATCGTCATATATTTTCTTTTCTTAAAATTATTTTTCTTTTTTTAAACCTTTTAAGAAAAATTTTTTGAAATTTAGTTTCTTTAATTTTTTAGTGAAATCATTGGATACGTCCAACAATTTTCTCCTCAAAGGAATACTGGGAATTCGGAGTTTTTTAAATTTATACTTTCGAATGGAGCAGGGAAAAAGATACAGTGCTGCGCTTGGGGTGCTGCAGACATCGATGCCATAGAAAGAGAAGTGTTAGTGAATAACGTATGTTTATTAATATTATAAAATTTTCACAAGAATTTAATTATTTAAAATAAATAATAACTCATTACACAATTTTAATTATTTTAAATAATTTTCACAAGAATTTAATTATTTAAAATAAATAATAACTCATTACACAATTTTAATTATTTTAAATACAATTTTTATCGAATTCCTTGAAAATGTAGCTATTCAAATTTTTACTACTTAAATGTTAGTAAATTTAAAATTTTGCTATGGCACTTCAGGGATTTTATCTCTAATATAAACATATTACAGATTTTACATATCGACGGAGCTTGGGCGAGAGTTCCATCAAAAGAGGAGTACAATAAAGGAAATTGTCATTTCGAACTTCAACTTTTTGCAACTACTGCTATTGAATGTTTCGGACAGCATTTAGAAGCCATTGAAGAGGATGATTTAGTCGATACAATTGTTCTACCTAATGTAGTTCACTGCGAACTTGGAACAAAAATTAGTAAGTAGATAATAAGATTTTATTTATATATAATTACTGCAATATCAAACTCAAATTAATATTTTTGATAAAATTAAAACAAAATTTTTCTGAGAATGTTTCCTATAAAATTCCTATAAAAAGAAAAAGTTTAAAGCATTTTTAAAAATTTTATGAAAGCAAAATTAATTATTAAAAAAAATTATTATTCAAAATGATAGATTTTCGATGTTTTTCTGGCTTTTTTGTTTACGAATGTTTTTAATTTCAATTAAATCAATATAACCCACGTGAAACGATTTTACGGAAACGACTCTACAGAAACCACTCTACGGAAATTCCGTAAAGAATTTCTGTACGAAATTTCTGCAAATATTTCACATTTCATATTTATGAAGAGTTTTTGATAACATTTAAAAATCTGTTAAACTGATACCAACTTTAATTGGATTTGGTAATAGTTTCATAATTATTTTTAATTTAATTCAATTTTACAGGAATTGCTCGAAATATTTCATTATTCTTAAAAGTTTATGGAATTTCCGTAAAGTGGTTTTCTTTGAATCGTCTCACGTGTGAATCAAACCAAACTTAATTTCCTATAAAATTTTATACATATATTACTTTTTTTATAGAGATCGTAGGATATCTCAGGACAGTATTTGTCGAACAACGACTTTGCTTTGGTTCTCAAGTGGGCACATTTGGTTGCGGTTCCATCACTGACGGCACAAATAAATTAGAAGTGAGAGTAGCCAGCATTCTTGAACTTCCCAATTACCAGAAAGGGCAAAAGGTTGAAATAACTGGAACCGTGGAACATCAAGGTAATTTTTTTTATTAAGGGGGCAGTCTGGGTCTTTTGCAAGTGTATTGAAGAATTTTTTTTCATAGTGTAATTAATTTAAATACTTTGAAATTTTTACATATTATTACACATATATTAAACTAAATAAAAAAATTTCTTTCTATATTTTTTATTGTTAATAACAAAGAAGTTCAGTTCAGTTTTTCGCCATTAACTATAAGAAATATAGAAAGAAATAGCTGGGAATTATCAGAAAACTAAATGTGACCGGGAATAGGCTAGGAATTTTCTACTATTGTAATATATTTCCATAAAAGTCTAAAAAAGCAAATCATTTAGTTTCAAAAGTATTAAAATTCTTTGCAGAAATGTTTTTAATATTCTGAATTCAAAAGATTTTGTTAATCTATTCAAAAACGCGGTTGCATTTAGGGAGCGTAAAGACTCAGCTGTCAAAATAATTCGCAATTCATTGCTATGGTAATTCCAATGCTGCAACCGCGTTTCTATATGGATTGACAAAATCTTTTGATTTCAGACAATTAAAAACATTTCTAACAAATGTACGTTGTCACATTTAGTAAAAACTGCTTGTAAACAGAGAAAAATTTGTTAGAAAATAAATGTTTACCAATTTCACGTCATTTAAACCGGTCAGTGCCGTATTTGTTGGGTGATAACTGTTAGTCGCACATTATCGAGAAATTTAAGAGACCCTCGAACACCGTTAATCGAATTTTCAATTTTTATTATAAACAGAAAAGATTATTTTTAAAAATTGGAAACATTTTTTGTTTAATTCAATTATTTTCCAAATTTTTAACTAAAATTATTAAAAACCATTATTTAATTATTCATAAAAACTCTAATAAAAATTTTGGAAACCTTTTGTAGATTTATTTATGTTTGAAATCAAATATTTTTAAATTTGATAAGAAAAAAACAAAAAAGAATTAGGACAAAGTCGGGAAATAACCGAGACTTTTGTTGAATAAAAATAATAGACACCCTGATTTAGTTTAACATTTTGAGTATTAATATGTAAAAAATTAAAAATATTAAAATGAATTTCACTAAAATAAATTCTTCAAAATAGGTAGGTACGTGCATAAGAACCGGACTCTCCCCTTAATTATAATCATATGCAGGGTTTTTACTGATCTTGTAATTCTTGCAAATAACCTGGAATTTGAAAAAAATTCCTAAAATTTAATTTTAAAATTATTTATTTAACAGGATTGCGATTCTATTTGCAAATCAACAACTTCAACGACATTAAAGTCATAGAGGACAAAATTATGCCTTTGGGACAACTACTGGCTGGTTATAAAGATTATAAACGACCACTGACAGATTTTGAGCAGCCTTCCACTTCAAGATGAAGATCATAGTTTCTTCTTAAGACAAAGGAGTAAAAAGCATTCTAGAAAAAGAGACCATGATTTTTATTACAAATTTTTGTTAGTAGAAACAAAATCTTTTTATTTAGTAGAAACATGATTATAATTACTACATGCATACATTAAGGGACAATAAGCTCACGATAATATTCTTGGTTAATTTAAAAATTATCGTAGTCTCTTTTTCTAGAATGCTTTTCGCATCTACTTCATCGTTATATAGAAAGAGTGTTAATTATAATTATTTAAGACTGATTAGTTACAATTCTCTATTAATAGATAATATATTTTACTACTGTTTAAAGGGATATGGAAGTGTAAAAAAGGAGAAGTACTTTAGAAAAATGTAAACAAATTTTTTTTCTATTCCGCGTAAACATAATTGCGATTCATAAAGAATATTTATTCTTCCAATTTTTCAATGTTGGACAATAAATTTCTTGTTTAGTTATCCTTTCTTATAATTTTCTTTTTCGTGATTGCTTCTCCCTTTTTCTTTATTTTTAACATAAAAAATACACACCATTAACGTTCCCCTAAGACAAAGATTACAATTGCAAAATATTCTAGAAAAAGAAACGTTGACATTCATTTCGCAATTTATTTTTAGAACAAAATCGTTTCGTTTAGTATAAACATGATTCTGGTTAACTACATACTTTTTTCAATTTTTCTATGAAATGACATTTTTTTGCTTTTTTCTCACTGAGAGATATTAGTCTCACGATACTATTCTTGTTATATTTATTTATTAACATTGTTTCTTTTTCTAGAATGCTTTCCGCGTCTTCATCGTTGTATGGAAAGAGGTACACTTTTTTACACTCTTTCTATTTTTCCAAGACTGATTAGTAATAGAGAACTATAGTTCTCTATTATTAGAGATTATGCTTTACTATTGGTTTAAGAGGATATTGTTGTGTAAAAAGGGAGCAATGTTAACGTTTCATTCTTCAAAAAATTTTTTTTTCTTATTCGCATAAATGTACTTGCAATTTATGAAATAATCTTTCATTTTTTTAATATTAAACAAAAAATTTCTCGTTTAGTTATCCTTTTTTATAATTTTCTTCTTCTTAAATGCTTATCCCTTTTTATTTATTGTTGAAATAAAGAATCGCTTTCTTTAGTATAAACATGATTATGGATAAATACATACTGTTCAATTTTTCTATAAAAAGAAATTTTTTTTGGTTGTTTCTTATTAAGAGTTTATAATCGCACGATAATATTTTTGGTTAATTTATAAATTATAGTATTTTATAAATAAATTTTTTCGTTTCCGCATAAATGTATTTGCGATTAATTTGTCCATAAGTAACAAATTTGTATGATTGATCTGTATAATTGTATACATGTTTTTGTAATTATTTAAATATATATTTTTTATTTATATAATAAATCCTTCTTATAAAATTTTTCATTACTTCTATAATCCTCTGTCTGCGTTGACTTTTTATTTCCACTCTACAGCTTTTAAATATGATTCTTATAGTCCCTACCAGGCGACCGAATTGTTGTTTTCTGTCGATAACGGTCACTTGTATAGGCAGACGGATAATATAATTAAAAAGACATAAACTACAATTTTACATTAAAAAATTTTAAGTTTTATATTTACTGTTATTGTTATAATTAAATGTAATATTAAATATTATTAAATAATAATAATTAAAAAATAAAATACAGTAAAAACATTAAATAATTTTAAATTTTGTCTAAAAAGTGACTTTTCACAAACCGAAGTAATCGATTTTATATTTTTTTCATTATAATCACTGATAAATAAAGAAATTTTTCCCACTTATACCAAAGTGGTGATCTTTATTATGGTTAAAATGATATTAAAAATTATGTCAGTCGTTTCTCAGTGTTGAGAGAAGAAAATTGAGAAATTAAACCACTTCAAAACTTAATTTCCATAAGTAAGGCATTTGTTTCGTTTTTTTATTGATGGTTAATATTTTTAAAAGTGTGAAAGTAGAATAAAACAGTGCAACGACTGAAATAATTTTAAATAACAATTTAACCCTAAAGAACACAACTTTGGCATAAGTGGCAAAAATTTCTTTATTTGTCAGTGATTGTAATGAAAGAAGAAAATCGTAAATCGATTACTTCCGGTTTGAGAAAAATCACGTTTTTAGACGAAATTTAATTTAATTTTATGATTTTGCTTTATTTAAGTTATTTTCTATCACACATTTGAAATATTTAATAAAAAATACACTACTGTAGGGAAGTATCGGTACGGCCGCACGCGCACGACTCAAAAACATACCAATCCTTAAATCACAATTTTTTTGTAAATACAAATGTCAGAAAAGTAAAAATATACTGTTACAAACGTTATTGAATTCTACGATTAATGATATATAACTGAAAATTTTATTAATTTATATAAAGGTTGCAGCAATTGACAAATTTGCAAAACAAGTTTGATACGTATATAAGTGTGATCATACAAGTTTCATCTTTAATTTAAAACCAAAAGTGTTAAAAGATCTTAATCGGTTCTCGAGATATCATTATAAATGTCCGAGCATTTATAGACCAAAACTATTCAAAATCGACTAATTTATTGCATTTGTCAAAAAATAAGTTTAAAATATAAATTACATACATAATTATTTTAATTATCTTTTTTGGGAATAAGCATATAATGCTTGTCGAGAGGCGCGCGTAGCGCGCCCATAGGGCTCTAGTATAGAATTAATTTTTAGTTTTTCTTTTATTCTTGAATGTTTTAGTTACAAAAAATGCACAATTAAAAAAAATAGAAGTTTCTAACCCTAAGTACAGTTTAGGAAAGAAATAACAATTAATTGTTTAAACAATTTAATAAATTGTTATACTTTTGTTATACATCAGAAACACTCAAACATTCTTTTAATAGGTTTTTTGATTAACTTTCTGAATGATTGAAGCTAAAAAAATATATTTTACGATTTTATGATTTTTTTAAAACTTATTGTTATTAAAAAAATGTTTAAAAACAAAATTTGAAAACCGGGCTCGAGAGATCGATAGAAAACTTAATTACGAAGATTTAGAAAAAAAGAAAAATCGTTTTGGCATAAAATTGTGACTTGTAGAGTGATTTGGAACGAAACTTGCGCCGCATAAGCGAATACATGCACGAGTTTCGGCATGCCGCGCTGGACATTTTATTTTTTTTCTTGTAAAGTTATTGTTGTCCCATAATTAAATTTATAAAAAGTATTCTTGACTTTATAGACAATGACTAAAAAAAAATTTTCAAATCAAAGAGGTATTTTTTTTTAAATTTTGATTCAAAAAATTTTTTAAAACTTTTTTCGGGCAAAAGAAATTCTTTTTTTTCTTTTTATTTTTTTCTTTAAAGTGCTTCTTATTATGAGTATTTTCCAAAAAAATTACCTTATTCGGTTAACAAAGAAAAAAGTTATGTGCCTTTTTTGAAAACCCGACCATAATTTTAAGTAAGCAGTAACTTAAAAAATTTTGAAAATTTTGAAAAAACTTTTATACATTTTTATGCCATGTATATGAGGAAACAAATTCAGTAAGTATTATTAATATTGCTAAAATCATCGAAAATTCTTTAGATCACTTCCCGTGGAATTGATCATTTTTTATATTTTTAAGTTTTAATTATAGACAGTTGCAACTTTTACTCACTACAACAAACAAATAAATTTATTGTCGTATTTATGTAATTATTTTCAATAATTTTAACTCAGCAATCATTCAAATCACTTTTGATAATGTAATTATGTCTATTGTTTGTAAACTGATCAAAAGTTTTTTAAATAATTGCTTAGCTGAAAATAATTACATAAATACGACAATAAATTTATTTGTTTGTTGTAGTCAGTAAAAGTTGAAAATTTCTATGATTAAAACTTAAAAATATAAAAAATGCAAACAAAAATTTTCAAAAAATGATAAAAAAAAATTTTTTCTAAAAAAAATTTTGTACATTTTTTTCTGATTCTACATGAAAAAATAAACGATTTGTGTTCTTTAAAATTTTTTTTTAAACAAACCGTTTTTGATTTATCAACAATTGAAGAAAATGGCTAATTATTTAAACAAATTATGATATTATTCATAAAAATTATCTAAAAAACTTTTTTTTAAATACGTTTTAAAGGTGATAAAACTAGCTTTAAAATTATATAAGTGTGATTTACATGCCATGATTTTCTAAACAACTGTATCGCTTTAAAAAAACCAAAAAAAATTTTAAGATTTTATGTTGCAATAACATTTTTTAAACATTAACAAATTAATTTTTAGAAAATTTAGTTTATGCAGTGTTAAAGCTTAGAAAAAGAGCTTTAAAAAGAGACCTTTTTGAGCTTTTTATCTTTAATAATAAACAAAATACAAAACTTGTTATAAAGTGTTTAATCGCTGTAGGGTGAGCAAAAGTTATTGAGCGGCACTGTACATATTAGAATTGATGTTAATGTTGAATGGAATTTTAAATTGCCAGTAAGTGTGTAGTTTCTGATTTTTTTATTATTTACACCTTGAGAAATGTTTGATTTAAATCAAATATCATTATAATATAATTAAGTATAATAATATATATATTTATTATCATATTTTTTAAAAATAAGTTACTTCTGAAAATTGATTTTCTTTTAAATATTTTAAATTGAACTTTTTTTATTAATAAAATTTTTCACTCGCGTTTTTCTAGAAACTGAGGCCCTAAAAATACAAACACATAAATAGAAATCATCAAAATAATTTAAACATTAATTTTGATTCTTAAAAAACAATTTTTTCTAAAAAAAATTCCAAATTACGATTTTCGGGTTAAGGTTTCTCTTTTCAGGGGCTGCTAAGGAACCAGAGGGTAACAATAAATTGTTTTGGCATCGTAGGCAAACTTTTTCTTCCTTTCAGACACCTGTAAACTATTTATTAATATTATTTACCATTTTGTTGTTAAATTATTTATAATTATTAATTTTTTTTTTTTTTTTTTT